CCAACTACAAGAAACGTCTGACCTCTGTGATTGCCAACAAGGGTTTTGCCACCAAGTACCAAGTCATGTTTTGCAGAGGGGTCAAATACTTATTTCCCTCATTAAAATGCAAATCAATTTATAACATTTTGACATGCGTTTTTCTGTATTTTTTTGTTGTTATTCTGTCTCTCACTGTTCAAATAAACCTACCATTAAAATTCTAGACTGATAATTTCCTCGTCAGTGGGCAAACGTACAAAATCAGCAGGGGATCACTGTAGCTCTTTTTCAGATGCAACCAAGACACACATGATAACTCAAAGCAGTGACTTATCGCGTGGACATTTCTAGCACCCAAATACGCATGTTTCTAAATGTGGAGGGAAAAACCGGAGGACCCGGAGAAAAATCAACGTGACCATGGGGAGAACACGCAAACTCTAAATATACAGCAGGGTCGGGATCGAACCCACTACCTCCTGTATACCAGACGCGGTAGTTAACATCTCGCCACTGTGGTAACCTACATATCATGCATGTTATAGTAATGTTTTGATTAACCACTAAGTTTGTGATAAGAAATACACTTTCTGTACTACCTTTCACTGTCAACATCTTGTCTGCAAAGACAAACATTCGTAAGACCCTATCGGAGACCGTTCCGCAAGCCTGATGTCTAAGCACCTCGAGAGAGACTGGTCTGTATGTTGTAAAATGGACGAATCTGAAAGCAGTGTGGTCTGCCCAATGTCTAACACGCATTGTTTTGTCCAAGTGGCGACAGAGGGAGGGTGGAAACGAACTTCAGCTTCGCAAGATAGTGTTTTAAAATCACCGCACATTTTAAGTTCATGGGCCAAACACAAAATCACGAAGTCCCACAGTTGAGAAATGTAGGACGTGAACTGGGACTGGACGAGGATTAGCTTTAGCTCATGTTAAGAGTCGAGTGCTCAGGTTGGAATTTACATTGAAATTAACCCCTTTCCTGTTGCAAGACGACTGCAAGTTGTAGAGTGGGTGACCCGTTCACCGCTGAATCTTGGAATGCGCGAGCGAATCGACGTTAATTTTATTTAGAGAGGCGTAGCATCGTTGATTTTAAAGAAGTTGTACTCACCGCAGAGAACCGTAGCTGACTCCAAACTGTACCACACACCCTCCTGCATTGCCTTGTGGGAGCCTCGGTACCGATTAAGTTACTTTATTTTCTCTTCCGGTTCTGTTCCGATCATGTACACATATGTACGTCATCGGAACAAAATGGAAGAAAAACTGATGAAGTGGACGTCATCATGTACGTCATTGGAACGGAAAAGGGTTAATATGCAGCAACAATAAAACCCCTGACATCATCATTAACATCATCAAAGGTCAAGAATCTAAGGAACTCCCTGCTCAAAACAGATATGGAGTCCTGTTCATGTCCAGTTATGCGAATTACACATTCGTATCCAGGGGCCAAGCCTCCATGTAGATTGGCCACTGAGAATTCACAATGAGATGGTACTCACTTTATCACCAAAACAAGGATGATGAGCTGAATCAACCGTTAATCGGAATTTATGCAGTGTCCTTCCGTGAGATGAGTGCTCCTATAATAGCACCATGTGGCTGTCACATTACTGTCACCGTCATCATCATCGTCGTCGTCATCGTTCATATCATAAAATACAGAAGTTGGCCAAGAAAGGTTTCAATCTCGGCACAGCACATTAACTTGTAAAGTGGGGGGCGGGTGGGGTAAATGGCAGGCAAAACCCTTAGCCCCCAGCCAGCATTCAAGAAGAACAATCTAATAAATGGGAACACGCGCATATATGCGCAGACACACAGACGCGCACATGAACAGGCACGCTCGCGCATGTCCATCTTCCACAGCTCAAGAGAGCGCACACTCTGCTCGCCTGCCCAGACGAGCGAATGCATTTTAAAGCGGGGTTTAATGAAACAAAATAAAACATTACCGCACAGAAATACCAAATAACAAAATGACACGCGCACGTCAGTTGTCACGGCAGTCAGACCGTCGGGGGGGGAGGGGGGGAGGTTATTGGCCCATAACCCCAAGGGCCTGAGTCCTGCCATTTCCCCCAACTCCTGCTATCAATCGCGCCGGGCTGACGCACACGGCGTGGCAGCTGTCCTGCTTTCTGCTCTGCACGCGGATCACACCATGGGTTGAAAGACGATAAACTTGACCCAGAAAAATAAAATTTAAAAATCCCAGGAAAGTGTGACGGCTTTCAATCAGACAGGACACTTTTGCCTTCTCTGTGTTTGTTGGGTGGCTTTATATACCGACTTACCAAATAATTATAAAGCTGCTATCTGTTTGACTTGGGCCATTACCTTGTCCAGGTACAAAAAAATAGGAACACTTGGTTGAGAAGTCGATATAGTTTGGCCTATAGAGTGAACGGTGTCTGTAAAAGGAATGTGGAATTGCTTCCACTGGCTTAGGGCCACCCAATGGAGATGAGCACTGACACACTCAATGAAGAAGAGACACTTTGACTTGCTTATGCATCGTTTATCTGTCTTACCTGGCTGCCTATCGTTCTTTTAGTCATTCTACTTATCTGTCTGCATATCTGTCTGTCTGGACTAATGTACATGTCAGTATGCCCATCTATCCTCTCTTCCTGCCAACATGAATATTTGATCAGAATGCCCATCATCTGGTTACATGCCTGCCTGTCCGTCAGTCTACCTGCCTTGCCAGTCTGCCTATCTATCTGCTTATCTTTCTGTCAGACCATACATCTCTTTGCCTGGCTGTTAGCCTCTCTGTCTGTCGAGCTAGCTAGCTATCTGTCAGTCTGCTCAACTATCTGTCTACCTACCTGTCTGCCTTGCCATCTCGTGAACCAACACTGCCTCCAGCATACACACTCCCATCAATACGCCCGGCCCTGACTCGATCTCCCTACCTCCTCTCACCCCAGCGTAAGCGGAGGCCGTATAAATCAGGGCCGGGCTGGCCTGGCCCCAGCCGAGCTGTGCCGTGTGCATGGCCATGGGTTATGAATCAGCGGAGCCACCTGTCATTTCAACGGAGAGGCAGAGACGCCCGGGATAATAAGACACGCCCGTCCGACATGGAGTGTTTGATGGCTCGTGGACACTCGCACACTCAGGACAAACGCTTGCGTATACAGAATACATGCGGCATAGAAGACATCCATACCGGACAGATATATACATGTATGTATACACCACGTGTAACAAACATCACCCGTATAGCCTTAATAGATTGCATGAGCAAGTACTGTTAAGCGAGCACCTATGAAGGCTAGCACGGCACACGAGGGGGTGGGTGGCCAGCACCATGCCCGGCCGCCTTTGTCTCCCTCGTGGCGGTGTTTACACATCGCACGAGGTACTCGTTTGTGGCCAAATCGACCTGGGGCTGGCCCTGGACCGCCATTGGTGTTGACAATGAGCGGGAATTGAACACAGATCGCTGGGTTCATAGAGCAGCGCGCTAACTGCTGCACTACCGCTCCCCACACACCACACACAGATGACTTACACACACATGTGCGTGCATAAGATAAAAATATACAAACAGGGTACATGCACACAGGTAAAAAAAACACGTAATAAGAACTGTTCGCACACACGTATGATGCACAACTTACGCAAGACAGACAACACACGTGACACACACAGCACAGATACAATACGCGTGACACAAGACACACGAACAAACAACAAACAAACACACACACAACACGTGCCCAAACAGCATCTTGTAAGTTATACTGCCAATCACTTCTTAACAAACCTGGCCCTGTTCAATCCAACTGCATGCTAACCAGCCCAGGTATATTGAAATCAGATGCATCTAAACAAACCCTGCTGAGTGGGCTCTGTTTGTACATTAACAAGCTTTGGTTTAGCTCTATAGAGCTTCCACAAAAACCGAACTCTATGGAAGCCCGACTCGATGGAATCTGCACGTTAACAACACAACCATTGTACCTCCGATTAGCACGATTGGACGTGGCTCAGCAAGGACACTGAACAATAAAATGTAACAGAAGCTGAAGAGTAAACCAAGAAGCACAGAGAGGCGCATGCTTGGAGTTATGCCGAGACACATAAAGCAGAACACGTGATTTAAGAAATGAAAACAAATCATAAATTTGTTAAGGAAACTGAATGGGCTTGGGCAGGACACATCAAAGGACACAACAGCTATTGTGGAGGTGAAGGAATGTGGAGGCCTTCATCCAGCAATCGATAGTCAACAATAAAGAAAACCAGATTACAAGCTTGTACGCATGGTTATATCAAACTACATGTCATTAACAGGAGAGTGTGTCAGAGATGACATCACTAAGACAACAGGCACTCAATTTTAAGCCCGAGTCGACCAAAGGGGAGGCCCAGGAGAGATTAAAATATGCATGCCCATAGCTAGGAAATGAACACGAGTCACCGGAATTGGAGAGCAATACATGAATCACAACACCATCATGCGTCCAAGACAAAACAAAGTTCCCCTGTATACCCTATATAGATTTTCAGGGGGCAGCATTGTAAGCGAGCACCTATCAAGGTCAAACAGCACACGAGAGAGTAGCGTGGTCAGCACCTCACCCGGCCACGTTTGTCTCCCCAGTGACAATGTACACACGGTGCACGAGGTACTCATTTAAGGCCAAATCGACCTAAGAGAGGCCTAAGACTGGTTCGTATATTATTCGCCACCGATTTTAGCTGTGGATGGGAATTGAACTTAGGCTGCTGGTTTTGTAGTGGGGTGCATTAACCTACTGCACTGCCACAACCCATACAACAAACACGCAACACAGTACAACCTACAGAGCCTGATGACATTTGGATCAGACGTTTACGTCACCAGACCTATTGAATGCGCAGGAGCATCGTTCATCAAGCAGCACACAGAACAAGGCTGGCACCACGAGCAGACTGGGAATGCACGCGGTGACGAATTCTGCATGGCCTATCGAGAGTGAGCATTGGATGAAAGCATGTGTGGAGCGCACCTGTGACGATGAGGCACTCGCTAGGGCCCAGCACCTCCGTGAAGAGTCTGCTGACGATGAGCTCGGGGTTGATGATAAAGCGGATCTCCTCCTGCACCAGGCCGTTGCCCAGCACCCCGCCACCCACGTACTTATTGGCAAAGTCCACCTGGCGTTCCCACGCACAAACACAACAAGCCCTGCTTAGTCCTGCAGGCTGTCGTCGAGGCAAGTGCTGCTGGCGAAAAGCTATACGCATACGGGCAAACAACAACAACCGCCTTTCCCCACTAAATGGTGGTCATGTTACCACGACACTTGTGCCAAGCTAGGTGCACTTTGAGGCCATATAAAGTGTCAAAGGCTCACTGTCAGAGGGTCACGGGACAGACCCAGGTGCCATGGGTTGATGGAGATGATTGGCAGATGCACCACCTGTGCTCCCTCCTGTGCCAACTTGCTGAGTTTTAACGGTCTGCTCATTGTTGAGCATCGCTCCTTGGATATTCAAACACACACACATTATATATTGATATACAAAGACAAATATCCCCATATAGCATTTAAAAGACTATTGCAACAAGTGCTATTAATGAGCAGCTATGAAGGATGGAACGGTACACGAAGGTGAGGATGGAAGACATCATGCCCGGCCAAAATTCACATCGCACCGGGTACTGGCTGATTCGACCGAGGGGAGGCTCAGGACCGGTTCAGATATTCGTGACTGTTAACGTTCGTAAGTGGGATTCGAACTCGTGTCACTGGGTTCGTAGCGCAATGCGCTAATCACGACACTACTGCTCCCCACAGGACATTATCATCACTGAGAATCACAATCCCTTTAGCAAGAGGGAGCCAAGAATCTCTGGTTATGTAAGAATTACTGCAAAAAAAGGTCTAAGCATTTTCCTGCTCAAAACAGTGTGCATAGCCACTCATCTCTATTGGCAGCCCACAGCCTTTGATAGAAATTCCACATTTCAATGGCAGGAGCCACTTTATCATAAGTCAACCATAGGTCACTGAATTTATGTCGTCAGAATGAGGCCTCAGTGGAGTATTCATCACCAAAATAACTCAAGTAAATCCTGCGACAGATTGACTGACAGCTGAACGTAAAATATATAGATGCTTGGCTCTACGATTATAACACAATAATGCAAAGACCAACTCTTGCATATGATGCCACAGGCGCTTTGATCATCCTTTCCATTCAAACAGTTGGTACGCTGTGGAATTCCTCTCAGAAATTATTGGGTGGCTGTACTTGGAATCGAACCGTCGACTGCACGCATTGACATGCTGACCAGTAAGGCTACGGTCGCAGAGCTAAAGAACTAAAACACATTTGCAGGTCATGAATAAACTTACAGTAGGAATGGACAGCTGCAGAATGTGTAACATACGATTATGTGCAATTTTCGTATGTGACAACTTTTTTCAATTTGATTTCTGAAAAAACGTGTTTGCCAAGATTGAACTGGAGTCAGGAGAATGGATAGAGCATAATGGCTGGATGATAAATCAGCAATTTGAGCTTGGGTACGCGTGTGCATGCGTCCGTGTGTGTCTTTTAGATGGGAGCGATGGTGCAGTGGTTCGCGCAATGTGGCAGGAAATACCAGAACCAGTTATGGGCCTCCATTTAGGTTGACTCAACCATACGTGATTACCTAGTGCAGTGTGTAAACATCAGTATTGCTATTGGCTACAACGTCACGTCCCACGAAAGTCTATATCAGCTACAGGGGGAATCGTCGTCTTTTGTTGAGATCAAATGCAATATATGCAAGCAAGCATACGCATTTGTGCAGGTGTATGCCATATAAGGGGTTATGTATTATGATCACGTGTGTACATATTTATCAGCACACTCGTGTGTATGTGTGTGGTTGCGTGAATGTTTGCTAAGAGTCGGGAACCGTAGTGTAGCGGTGAGCACCCTGTGCCATAAACCCGGAGATCCAAGTTCAATTCCTGCTTACGGCCAAACACCAGTAATGACTACCTGAATCAGTCCTGGGTCTCAAATAGGTAGACTCAACCTCAAATGAGTACCTGGTGCGATGTGTAAACATAGCCACTGGGGAGACAAAGGCGGCCGGGCGTGGTACTGACTACCCATCCCCTTGTGTGCTGTGCCCGCCTTCATAGGTGCTGGCTAACAGCACTTGCCCCAACAGTCTGTTGAAACTCTATTGGGAATCTATGTCTTCGTTTGTTAAGATAAGTGGAGTGGTTTGTGTACTGTGCCACAATTCCATGAACATAGATTGCATACCTGGCCCATCACATCATTAGTAAATACGATCAAAGTCTAGCCCTGAGCCTTAGCCACCTTGACTCAGCTTTGAATGAGTGCATTGTGCACTACAGAAACATTACCCCTGAACAATCACAACTCGGCTTGCAGCCAGTTGCACCATGCCGGACTTAGCAGGTGCTCTCGGACAGCACTCGTTCCTACGGGTAAAGAGGCTTGAAGATAAAAAAAAAATATCCTGTTTTTAATACATTGAATACAACCACATTTCTACTCGTCAGATTATTGGTACTAAATGCATAGAAAACATGGGTGACGTCAGTTAAATTGCTGCGCAATATTTAAATCCGTTGACCAATAATGGGTTTTCTTGACCAACGTTTTCGCAAAACACGGACTTGTCTCAACTTCTGAAAGTGTCATCAGAAAGGATGTGGTCGTCCAGTAAACAAACATCACTGTGCAGGATTATCCTACGAGCAAACGCATTCTGTGAACACCACAATGTGCCAAATCACACGAATAAAAGCGCAGCATCATCATATTAATAATTATTTACCACAACCAAAGCTTTCTTCCTTGGTAGGGAAGCTAAAGCTTTCTGCTCTGCTCCATAACTTAAAGCTAGAACTTGCATTCAATGGAAATGTTGATACTCAAAACGCCACAATAAGCCATACTTTTAATAACATGACTCTTCGCCAAAAGCTCAAAGAGCCAAACTAATGCAAGCTACGGAGGAGCGTTAACAGTGGCAGGAAGAAAAAATATGCCCCGACCCAAAGAGCATTGCCATCTCGGATGTGCTGCTGCTGTTGGACCAACATAAATAATGGGTTTGGAGCAGCATAATGAAATCATAGCGACATAGTCTAGATGGAAATAATGTTGCCGCTGGCCAAAGCTGCCTGGGCAAGTACCGCTACCCCAACGCGCGGGCCACTGCACACACAGAAGCATTAAATGAATGCCCCGAGACATAAGCATTGTAGGACCGCAACTCGGCAGCAAATTATATCTTCTGTATCCACTCTATGTTCCGAATATTCCGTATCTACCATATATATTCAGTATATCATGTACTGTTTAGTGATGGATATATTTTGAACATAATGGGGCACGGAACAAGCACAAATCAAACACATTTACTGACAATTAATAAAATTAAATGGGCTTGGGCAAGACAGATCACGAGATGGGAAGATGATCGATGGGCGAGACTGGTGACGGAATGGCAGCAAAGGGAGAGAAAAGTGTCCACGGGGTCGACCACCACTGAGGCGGAGCGATGAAATCAGTTCAAGTGCAGGAGAGGAGCGAGATGGACGAGGGATGGTAATGGCGTGGGGAGGCTGCTATAAATTGCCGCTACAAACTTACAAACGATAAGCCACGTCGTTGAGCTATCATTTGTGGCCAGGTCTCTTCTGAAAAGAGCAGAGCTATAGCTCTGTGGGCCTTGCCTGGTAAAATAGAAATAATCGATAGATAAAAGTCTAAAATTGTCTGTTTGCGGGGTTGTGTGTGGCTTTGTGTGTGGCTTTGTGTGTGTTCGCGCGCTTGCGAATGATTTCGCTCTCCAACGGTTGGGTTTACGTTAAATAAACATAGTCAGGTACCACGCCGTAAGCCCCGCCTGTGAGCAAGCGCTATTCTTTTTTCACATCTGTCAACCTTAAATTAGTTTATTTAGCGATTTCGTGCTATTTTTTTGCACTTTCCATTTATTTCTTTATTTATGACGCGTGCACGACCATACCAACTCACGCGCCTTTGGTGGGGGGGACGGCCCATACCAAGTCGCACTCCTTCGGTGCGAGTGAGGGGGACATTTTCTGTCGTGTAAAAAATGATATAAAATACACTAAACGCTGAGGTAAATGCTTCACTGTATGATGTCCCCCCCACCCCGATGCGTGCAGTTACTACTATATACAGTCGCTAGACGCGACCATTATAGGCCATAGATATTACTGCAGAGCGGCCGGGGAGATCGTGGCTGGGGGGGGGGGTTAGGGGTAGCAGCCCAGCCCCAGCCTGCCAAGGTACCACCTCGGCCGGCTGGACAATCTAGGCGAGGCCGGAGGTTCTGCACGTGACTAGGCCTCACCACGCCACTCTGTCAGGTGAGTACTTTGTGGTATAGAGTCGATAAATACTGCTATAGAGTAAGCATGTACTATTGTAGTGATAGCAGGTACCACCACAGTCGGTATGCACTGCTATAATCATAGCAGATACCACCACAGTCAGTATGCACTACTGTAATCATAGCAGGTACCACCACAGTCAGTAGGCACTACTGTTAGATTTTTAAGAGTAGTTTTGAAATATATTTTTGGCCTGGGCAATGCCGGGTATATAAGCTAGATTAAAATAAAAATGGTTTACATAGTTGTTTAATTACAGTGAGGGAAACAAGTATTTGATCCCCTGCTGATTTTGTACGTTTACCCACTGACAAAGAAATGATTAGTCTATAATTTTAATGGTAGGTTTATTTGAAGTGAGAGACAGAATAACAACAAAATCCAGGAAAACGCATGTCAAAAATGTTATAAATTGATTTGCATTTTAATGAGGGAAATAAGTATTAGACCCCTCTGCAAAACATGACTTAGTACTTGGTGGCAAAACCCTCGTTGGCAATCACAGAGGTCAGACGTTTCTTGTAGTTGGCCACCAGGTTTGCACACATCTCAGGAGGGATTTCGTTCCACTCCTCTTTGCAGATCTTCTCCAAGTCATTAAGGTTTCGAGGCTGACGTTTGGCAACTCGAACCTTCAGCTCCCTCCACAGATTTTCAATGGGATTAAGGTCTGGAGACTGGCTAGGCCACTCCAGGACCTTAATGTGCTTCTTCTTGAGCCACTCCTTTGTTGCCTTAGCCGTGTGTTTTGGGTCATTGTCATGCTGGAAAACCCATCCACGACCCATTTTCAATGCCCTGGCTGAGGGAAGGAGGTTCTCACCCAAGATTTGATGGCACATGGCCCCGTCCATCGTCCCTTTGATGCGGTGAAGTTGTCCTGTCCCCTTAGCAGAAAAACACCCCCAAAGCATAATGTTTCCACCTCCATGTTTGACGGTGGGGATGGTGTTCTTGGGGTCATAGGCAGCATTCCTCCTCCTCCAAACACGGCGAGTTGAGTTGATGCCAAAGAGCTCCATTTTGGTCCCATCTGACCACAGCACTTTCACCCAGTTGTCCTCTGAATCATTCAGACGTTCATTGGCAAACTTCAGATGGGCATGTATATGTGCTTTCTTGAGCAGGGGGACCTTGCGGGCGCTGCAGGATTTCAGTCCTTCACGGCGTAGTGTGTTACTAATTGTTTTCTTGGTGACTATGGTCCCAGCTGCCTTGAGATCATTGACAAGATCCTCCCGTGTAGTTCTGGGCTGATTCCTCACCGTTCTCATGATCATTGCAACTCCACGAGGTGAGATCTTGCATGGAACCCCAGGCCGAGGGAGATTGACAGTTCTTTTGTGTTTCTTACATTTGCGAATAATCGCACCAACTGTTGTCCCCTTCTCACCAAGCTGCTTGGCAATGGTCTTGTAGCCCATTCCAGCCTTGTGTAGGTCTACAATCTTGTCCCTGACATCCTTGGAGAGCTCTTTGGTCTTGGCCATGGTGGAGAGTTTGGAATCTGATTGATTAATTCTGTGGAAAGGTGTCTTTTATACAGGTAACAAGCTGAGATTAGGAGCACTCCCTTTAAGAGTATGCTCTTAATCTCAGCTCGTTACCTGTATAAAAGACACCTGGGAGCCAGAAATCTTTCTGATTGAGAGGGGTCAAATACTTATTTCCCTCATTAAAATGCAAATCAATTTATAACATTTTGACATGCGTTTTTCCGAATTTTTTTGTTCTTATTCTGTCTCTCACTGTTCAAATAAACCTACCATTAAAATTATAGACTGATCATTTCTTCGTCAGTGGGCAAACGTACAAATCAGCAGGGGATCAAATACTTTTTTCCCTCACTGTGAATCTAGCAGTGGATAGACAATAGATGACGATGATCATGGTTATATATGTTCAGTGTGGTCATCATACGGAGTGTCTGGATGCCACCATGAAAATGCTAAATCTCCAGGCTCAGGGCCTCCAGTAGAGATGAGCACCACCCCATTGCTTGTTTGAGCAGAGACACTTTGACTATAACTGTACACTGCATCTGAACCGGTCAGTCGAGAGCTTGACTCCTAATTGGAAAATCGCATATTCAATTGATGGCTAAGGGTCAACTCGGCTCACGATCCTCCTGGGGTAAAAAAGGGGGGCTACCACTTTGGAGGGAAGACTACGGTATTCGTCCTATGGAGAGAATTGCCCTCAGTATAGGAATGTGGAATTTCCACCACTGGATCAATGACTCTTAATGGGGATGAGTGCCACCCTCATGCAGGCAGAGACACATGGATGTGGATGTGAATGTGGGTAAAGTGTCTCGGCGGAAAAATAGAGTTTCCTCTTTTGGTTGCAATATTTATAAAGCTGGTAGCATTCGTTGCAGCAGTAGTGATTCATATCACTGGCAGCATATATAAATATTACACAATGCATTATAGGATATTTATATAAAAAGTTTACTTTTTAACTGGATGGTAATGGTGAACTTTGTGTGTGTGTGTGCCAGCTGCCACTGTGATAACAAACTGTGCTGAGGACGTTAACGTTAAAACCCAGTCCCAGTTATATTTATATAACAAGTGTTAGTACATACACACAAAGATACCCCGTATAACCTCAGGACTGTTGGGTCATGGTGTTTGTGAGCATCTAGTAAGGTCGCCATGGCATCCGAGGGAGTGGATGGCCAACACCACGCCTGGCGGCCTTCGTCTCCACAGTGTTGATGCTTACACACAGCACCGGGTACTCGTTTAAAAGCTCAGTCGACCTAGGGGAGGTCCAGGACCAGTTCAAATATTCGTCACCAATGCTGGTCCGTGAGCAGGCACCGAACACGTGTGTCGCCGGGTTCGTAGCACGGTGGCACTAACAAACTGCGCCACCGCTTACCACTTAATTGCACACCGCTCGCTCGCACACACAGAGAAGCGTGCAAGATGTGTGTGTGTGTGTGTAGCGAGTGTTCCAGGCACACAGGTCTCACCTGTAGCATGCCCTTGCCTTCAGTCTCAATGGTGCCTGTACTCTGCACCTTCAGGTTGGTGAGCAGTTTTCTGGATCTGAAGGGTAAGTGACATTGAGCAGACGTTTAATCATTCGCAACGCCTCAGCTCGGTGAATTGTTACAAGTCGGGGTCACGACTCAATTCAACAATCAATATTGCTTGGCCTTGTTTGTATGTATGCATGGTCTTGTCCAGTCTACAGTGTTGTCGCCTTTGTACTACCTGCTGTCTCGTTTGTATAATCTCTCTCCCTTACATTTGTACTACCCTGCGCTGTCTGTCCATTGTCATGTTTCGTTTGTTTGGTCTCATCTGTACTGTCCGTTTTGTCTGAAATGACTCAGCAACTCTCTCTGTACTGCCTGTCCCGATTGTTTTCTTTATCCGTCTTGTCTGTACTGTGATGTCATGTTTATTCTGCCCATGTTGTATGTACCGTGTCATTTGTTCAATCTTATTGATTCTGAGCAATATCCTCAATAAAATACGTACACACAATTTGCATGCAGTGAAGGTAATAGCTCAAATCAACTGTGTGATGTGAGCTATGTGCGGCACTCAAACTGAGGGCCCCAGGTTTCGAGTGCAGTGTACAAACCACTGTGCCACCGTTCCACCCAACGAGTTAAGTCGTCATCATCGTCATCAATCATGACCAATCAACCACTTGGATTCCCCAAGCTGCCCCCCTCACAATCTTGTGATGCAACAATCCATCCAATACCCACGCGTGAACTGATTTCATCACTTCATCTCCTCGGTGCACGTATTTACAGGCGTGTCATTTCTTGGCTGCCATCCCATTGACATTCTTGACCATCGGCCTTCATCCCTTGCAGCTACGTTGTGTCTTGCCCAAGCCCACTCGTTTGTTTTAAGAGTTTGCATGACGTCATTAATTGGCATATGTTCTCCAATCCGGACACAATCAACAAAGCACATCAATCCGGGCGAGTGAAAGCAAGTCCAGACAGCTCACCAGTACAGCATGGGGACACAGCAAATGTATACAAGAGTGCTTGATTCAGATCGTCACACAAGAGGTCATCAAGTGTAGCGTAAATATAGGTGATGCTAAATTGTAGCAATTTACAGCAAGATACAACACATCAAGGCAGCACAGCAATACGGTAGGGCAATACGGTGAGTCAGGACGGCTTGTCAATAGGGCAAGCAAACACAGCAAGTTGACACAGCAGGTCAGGCCCACATGTCAATACAGTAGATGAAGTCAGTAATACAGCAAGCTGGCAGAGTCTAGACAGCATTTTAACATGGCACGTCAATACAGCAGCCCTTTACCACATGGTAATAGAGCTGTGTCAATACAGCAGTGCTGACATGCTGTGATACTGTGCTTACAAAAATATTGGATTAATTAAGTTAATTTGTGAGTCCGGGTGCATTGTTTAAAATGCCACATGCCTATGGCAGGTATCAGTATATCCTGTTCGTACAAACAACACTGCCTTCTTGCAAGACGATAAAGATGATGGGGTTCAATCTATTCCTGGTCAGGATTTGTATTCAGAATCTCAAGACTGAAAGCTCTGCTTATTAAACAATCAGCTATACCCTGGATAGGATATTACGTTAAAACTCTTGAACCATCCTCCCATAAACCCTCACACGTATGCTTCCTGCTCAAATTAACATTGAGTAGTGTTAATATATTTTAGTGGCCCTTATCCGGATGTGGAAATGCTTCATTCCTCTGAGTGGGGTATGTGTAAATTGAAACAACTCATTGAAATGCAATCATGAAGCTGAAATTCATGCTGTGGAAATACAATGTTTACTCCGATAAAACAAAGACTTACCTTTCCCACTCAACTTTTGTTTCAAGTTTTTTTCTGTGGAACGTCAGCAATCCTGTCGGCACTGCGGAGGACACACAACAAAGACTGGCTTGTCAGCAGCAATTCTTCACTCGTAGTAATAATAAAAAATAATTTGCAAGTTGTCACGCGCTGCACAGCATTCGCTCGTTCTCGAAGACAGACAACGACTCGGAGGCGCGAGGAACCACAGACGAGCGGGAGGGCCGCCAGGCGGCGAACCGGCACCAACAAATTGCCGAGCTGTGGTCCCTCATATATGAAGATGTTTTCAGCCAATTAATGAATGCTTACACGTGGGAGGAAACTGGAGCACCCGGAGAAAACCCACCCTCATGAGGGGGCAACGTCATCCCATACAGGCAGAACAAGCGGCATCCACATTCTTGTTGCGCCGCCTTGTGAGCAAGTGAAGGTTTGGTGCCTCGACGACCATGGGGCCCTCTCCCAACATGTGTGATCCGCCAACCCTGACCTCCACAGCACTGGATTTTACAGGCGTGCTCCACCGTCGCCCGGCTAAAGACACAGGGGATCCTAACCCGAGTCTGATAGGACGTCTGGGTGAGAGATAACATTTCATAAATCCTGATCAAAATGAAGTCCACGTGGCCCAGCTTGCACTTTGGTTCGTGTGCTCAACGCACGTGAGAAAGGTCCGCGACATTAAATCTCGGCGTGGTGGGGGGGTGGTTGTGGGCTAAATTAAGCCCACCATTCCTCTATGGGTGACAGACTAAGTACTTCATTGTAAAGAAGAAAACATTTGTCGTAATACGGAAACACTGTTCATGAGGAATCTCCACCATTAACTCAAGTCCACCAATAAAGATTAGTGCTGCACCGATTACTCATTTGAGCAGGGGTGGGGGGAGGCACCCTGTGAGTCGACTTGATTATTTTGACCCTGAGAATTAGCCAATTCATCTCAATGGGATCACTCAGCTTGTTAGGCGAATGCCACTAAGATTATGGTGGTTGCCTTCGTCAAGAGACGATGCATTTCAATGAAATATTGTTTGTTGAATTAAAAGGTAGACTCGAACTGAACCCCAGTGTGAAGGATGCAATTTAACAAACGTTAATAAACTCCCACTCGGTTAAAAAACAGTACACTGAATTTAACTGGTCAAAATTAATCTTAGAGCTCTCTTTCTTGGCTAAATCAAAGATGATTAATTTATCACCCCCCCCCCCCCCTGTCCCATGTCTTAAAGATGACAGAAAACCTTTGGGTCATATGAAGGGCACTAAATATAAGTTTCCTTGAAAAATATCGTCAATATCAACGGGATCGTATTTGGCTAAAGGACAATGAACTGATGTGTCCGCAAGAGCGATTGCATCTCAATGGGCCCTAGTTTGGTTATACAAAGGACGAATTAAGGGAAGTGAAATGGAAAATACTGATTCATACTCAAAAGCAGGTGGTGGCTTTGCCAAAACAACTCGGATGCAATTCCGCAGTGATGCAAGAGAGTTCATGACTGCCGGTGAATGGGTGCTCGATCAACATTTTATGAGTAAATAATAAAAAGACAGCGATAATTTAACTTAACCATCAACGCTAATGGAAACGAAAACACTTTAGAAATGCTACGATATAAAAACATAATTTCGTACATTTACGATGTGCCTGATTCTGCACAGTTATTAAAATGGACATATTTACACGGACAAATATACATTGTTCATGCACTCACAGAGATTACAAATTGCGTTATAGATCGATGGGGTATATGCTGTTAGCGAGCACCTAAAGGCCTAATTGGAAATCGTGGGGGATAGTATGACCTGAACAATGTTGCAGCCATCTCTGTCGCACATAACAATAAGTTCAACGAGTAGAGGTGCAGATTCAGAGCCCGATTGCTACTCGGGTTGCGTATGGCCAGCAACTGAACCCCGGGTCAAAATAATTACGGCACAGTGAAGCACACACATCCACACAAAGAGATTACACCCGTTAAGTTTTGTACACCACAGGGGCACAAAAGTGATGTGAGTAGGGGTGGCATGTTAAGTTAAATATTTGAATCAATAAAAAAATATAACAAACATAAAAACTACGAACTACTTAACTTCCATGCCATCCCTCGGCAAGTTGACGAACTGTCGCCCGTTTGTCATCAACTCATTCCGCATCTCGTTTTTTCCAGTCTCGATCGTATTGTTCATGTTTTCCATCTCAACGGACATTTGTGTTCACTCCATTCAGCCCAAATGAATCATTCGCATAGAATTTGCATGCATGGAACAACTTAAATTCTGACACATACAAGGCCTGTGATGCCCAAGCGGAGACATTTGCTGACAATACAATGCACGCCTCTAATAGTGACTAGGTGTAGGGGAGATAGAGGAGAGGTTCAGATACCACGGGCATACACTAACATATAAAAACATCCATAACGACAAAGATCCCCCACGTAGCTGCAGTTGATTGCTGGGGCAAGTTAAACACCACCTCTTCCCCACGGTCACAAAGACATTTGCCGGAACCAGTTGTCATGGGACACGAAGCCTCGACTCTGCAAACTCATTCAGTGGCGGCAGCAGTGACCACGAGGCTAAATCCAGCTGTCGGCACAGCGTAAATACCCCCCCCCTGCCCCGCATTAGGCTCACTAACTGGATGGGTTTGGACACTAAACAGTGAGCGACCAAAAATAATTGAAAAAAAAATGGCCGGTGACAATTTCGCAAAAGTTACGGCATTAGCTCATCCCAGGAGAAATTCAAATTTTGAAGCAGGTGCTAATGAGAAGTGGGTTTGTTCATGCGTGGATCGTTAGGGAAAGCCCCGAGCAGATCAAACGGGAATCCAATAGTTTCTGCCCACATCATTCATCAACAGTGTGGATCCCGGTACACTTCCACAACCCCCACGCACAAGCACTTGACGTAGGCGAGCTTCACGAAGCCTGAGGAACGATGGGGAACCTGGCCGGTTGGCACCGTGGGTAAGAGTGTTCGGTTCTCAATGGAAAAAGTAGCATATTCAAACCCATCAACTTCTTAACCGCTCCAGGTGGATGCCACTTTACATTCACTTGAGGTTGAGTTGATCTCAGCGAGGCTCAGGCCAGAACCAGACACCAAATGCCACTGGTGACGATGTCCATCCTGGTCAACTAAACTTACGGAACCAATATCGTAGCACGATGAGTTGACTACGACGACAAGGTATTGATCCCCTGTTAACTCTACACAGGCCACATGCCGTAAGCAAGCAACCAATTCAGGATTACATTCCGCACACAGTGGTGGTGTGGGTTATAGCACCACGCCAGTCTGCTTGTCTCCCAATGTTGATGTCGTACGCACCATGCCAGGTACTACTCATTTAAGGCTGAGTTGACTTGGGGCAGAGCAATAACTAATTCACCCAAGTGCATTCCACTGTCAATGGCAATGGATGGAAACTGCACCCATGTCACCCTGATCGTAGTGCAGCGTGAACCACCATGCCACCACTATCCACGCACACACACACACTAAAAGCCAACCTAATCATCGCTGGGGTTTCTCGCCAATCGAGCATATACGTTTAATCCCATCAATGAAGGCAGATGTACACACACACAGCGTGACATATTGCATTATCCAATTGCTCCGGCATTTCCACAATATCCACACAGGTGGGGGACAGTTTATGCTAGCAATGTCAATCTGTCCACTGGGCAAGAGAAAATGACTTGGGATCAATACACAATTACCGATGGCACGCACACGCACACACACGCATGCATGCACAAACAGAGATCACCCGTATAGCTTTAAAAGACTATAGGAGCAAGTGCTGTTAGCGAGCACCTATGGAGGCCGACATGGCACACGAGTGAGTGGGTGGCCAGCACCACGCCGGGCCGCCTTTGTCTTCCCAGTGGCGGTGTTTACACATCGTGCCAGATACTAAGGTTTAGGCTGAGTCGACCTAGGGGAGGCCCAGGACCAGTTCAGATAATTATCACTGGTGTTGGCCATGAGTGGGAACTGAACTAGGGTAGACGGGTTTGTAGCGCAGCGCGCTAACTGCTACACTACTGCTCCCAAAACGCACACACATACACACACACACGCATATTCACACACACATGCCTGCATGTTATTCATACGAATAGAATGAAGTGCCAAGCAGTGAGCGGTGACTCAGTGCACACATATGCTTACACATTTACATCGAAGCAATCTATATCTATATATAGATATAATGCACTATACATTGAAATTTGCAATAAAGTGCACACGTTAAAAACATCAGCAATGTAAATCTTAATGGCCTATATTGTTGAGCTTGCTCAAGTAGTCAAAACTGCATCTGAGTAATATCATCATAATTTAAACTTGTAACGCACGGTGCTGGATTACAGGCCACGTGTCTAGCCACCACCACCAGGCTTCTATTAAATGCTCATATTATAAGCGTCATACAAGTCTCCTGTACTACAGATACACTTACTACCTCACTACCTCATTGGGGTGAATCATTGATTCAAACAGATTCTTAAGATGCGCTAGTTTTCTGCTGAGAAATTAATATTAATTGTTCAATCAATAACAAAATTGTGTGTTGGTGCATATATGCACCCACGCTGCACTGGTGTTTGACTTGACAAGCATATATATGTACTGTGAGCGAGTGATTGCATGTGGTTGTGCACATGCACATATTGAGTAAAAGTGTCTCCCTGTTCCAATGAGCACTCGAAGTTAATTAATCTGCACGAGTAATCTGAAGAAAACTGTGCAAATTCACATCCCTCTGGCCTGTTTTTCCATAGCACAATCACTGTGACCTACAAAGCAGAAATCATTGTATCACCATTGCAGGGATGATACGTTATTCCCATGAAATCCGGGAGGCATTACGTGTGTGTGTACGATACATAAGGTACATTCTCTAAATGCATGCAATGCAATTATAAAAACATATGCACAATGGTGACTGTAATGTGTACCAGTCACAGTGGCTTAGCCATTGAGCCACGCTACACAGTCGAGAGTTCGATTCCCACCGGAGCTGCCAACTGATGTCTTTGG